AACCCCCCCCCCCCCCCCCCGGGAGAGGATGTTGATAAAAAAGTCTCATATGTACCTGGAGTCCCCGAAGCATACATGGGAAACTGCATCTTTTTATGTTGCCATCGGAAGCATTTTGGATGTTTTTTCTTTGTCATCATATTTATCAGCACCTGAGATACTTGGTGCTGTCCCAGGGTTAAATTTAACAACAGGTCTCTATATATCACATCCATTTTGGCAGTCTGAGAATCTCATTATCTCACCTACTCCATAAAGCATGAGAATTTCATGGAGTGGTGATACAGAGAAATTATTGCCCTTAGGTCTCTCATAATGCAGAGATATCTTGGGTTCGCATCCTAAGAAATGACGTGTAAGATGCATTACGAATAGAAGTTATTACCTGAGAAATAGTGTCTCTAACTGGGGTGAACTAAAACTATGGGTGCTCCAAACTTGATATGCACATGTTCTCAAAGCTGACAATATATACGAGTCAAAGGCTTAGGAATAGGCTCGGGCTCCAAACGTTACACTACTGGCGTGGTGGCATCTTCGAATGAGAAAAGAAAAGAATTTTGTAATATATCTTGTTGAACAAAAGCAATATGTCTAGTTATCTTTATGGCAACAATATACTCAGAAACTAGGTAGTAGTATCTCATTTTTATTAGACTGCCATATTATTTCCAGTTAAATTCTTTTGTCAATAGTACATTAAATGAATTTGAACATAAAATTATATCATGATACAACTAAACTCGTAGTTTAGAAATATAAAAAGGTTAATCCTGTTTCTATCAAAAGAATTATTGAGTCACAGAAACATATATACAAAAAAATTTGGAGTTTACACACAGGCATACATAACTTCTCTCTTGGCGATTGAGGTATTCCCCAACTCAAACTTGACATAAAAAAAATTTCTGTGCATTTTCTATAGAAAAAAAGTGTATATAAAAGTCGCATTATCTTCAAATTTAGTAGCTAGAAAATGTCTTGCTTTGGGAATCCTATTGCTGATTCCGCCGCAGTTCTATCATGATCCTGGAAAAGCATGTATGCTTGCACTAACCTACAGAACTCGATATGCTTCGTAGTTAGATGCCAAAGACCAAAACTCCCTTTATTGGTGGGAAAGGCTATCCTTCCAAATCTTCAATAGAATTTTGTCATCTGAAAGATAAACGCATAGGTGTTGGTTCATATGCCTACATGTGTCCAAACTCCGGTGGAGATACTGCCAAAATATTGTTGCAGCCATTTTCTAGTGCTATGCCTCCTAAGTATATTGGTGTTTGAATGTTGCTCATCCAGTTCCTTATTCTACGGAACCTTCATGATATTCTTCTGATGTGATGACAAACGGCAACTCTTACACCTTTAACTATGATGCCAAAGAAAACAAATAGTTCTCTAAATTTTGAAAAAAAAAATTCTATAGTTTGTATGTTGAAAATATTTAAATACATATGATCCATACCTTTCAAATAATAAAAGGTCGTTAAATTTCCTATACCACCCATACCAACAAATGGAACTCCTCCAACATTCTGATTATGTGCAGTTCCATTTTCCATTGCACTCTGCAAATGAAGCACTCGATGAGTTTTATCGAAACAAATTGTTGAGTTATCTTCATTCCAATTCCTTTTTTCTGTAGGAGATCCTCACAAGAAAAACAACATTTTCTTCAGTTCTTCATCAAAAGTAGAACTAATAACCAACTTATTTTCAGTTATACATACACATTTATCCCGAAATGCGAACAAACTAGATGCAAATAATGCCTTTCATTCCCACTCCTATCCCCCAACTTAGGAGAGAGGATTTCCTTAACGATGTATTATTTTTTATTATTATTATTTTTTTTTTTTTTTACTTCAATTTTGATTATTTGAAAATCCTAGGCAGGTACATTGTAGCCCCTATCACCACCCTGTCCCTCAAAATCATAAACGCAAAACCATATAAAGTGCATGATTGTCCTTGATGATGGAATATTAAGATAAAGAAATGTGTTTGACATGGGAAAAATTAAATAAAATGGAACTCTTTCAAGAAAAATTAATGGACCTTGATTAGGGTTCATTGCACATTTAAGCAACACAAACAAATCACATAAATTTATCATTTTGGAAGCAAAACTATTTTTTCATTGTTTCCCCTCGAAGGGTTATGAGTGTGTCTATCGAGAAACTTTAGGAATTCAACCCAAAATATATTTATTACATTTTATTTCAATAAGCAGTAATTCTCAATTTCCAAAAAAGAATTTGCTCGAAAATGAAAATTTTATTAAAAAGAAAAAAGATTAACAATCTCAAAACATCACCACTTCAAAAACCATTCTTTATTTTCAACGGATCTATGCAAATCAATTTAAGTGAAACCCAAACCCAATTTTTCAGTCAAATTTATTTAAAATTTATATCAACAAACAACTAAATCAAATTGAAGTCTGTAAGAATGCAATCATATCCGTGCAAGAAATTTTATGTTTAAAATCCATCAAATTCAAAGCTCGTAAAAAATCAACATTTAAACTCAATCAAACACATAGCTAAATGTCAGCGTGTTCTCATCTATACTTACAAAACTGGAACACACAAAAATTGTTAAAAATAAGTCAAATTCAAAACTCAATCAAGAAGTAACTAGAATCCCCCCACCCCAACCGCCAAAAAAAAATAAAAAGCACAAATCAGATCTAAACAGCATTTCACCTGTCAGCAATTCGATAAAAGGAGCATATATGTGTGCTCTGGATTCAACTGATGAGAATTCTATGTATTTTGGAGAGAGAGAGAGAGATGAGGGGGTTGTATTGTGGGAAACCTACGTGTTGTTTTGTATATATAAAGGTGTCCAGATGGCTTCTATGGTGTCCATGGGTACATTTATGACAATCCTTCATACAAAATATGAGCATTTGACCAAATTGAATTTATTCTCACTTTTGGGTAGTGTTTTTATTTCTGTTCAATTGGCATTTATGTTAAATAATTGAGACCTACAATTTATTTGAGAACAAGCATGAATGAATACTGAGTTTGAGTACTAGAATGTTCTTGTCCAAAGACTCCTAACACACTACCCCATAAGATGTTAATAAATTACATAGAAGTCTCTGATTTACTTGAAAAATATGACGACGCACCTTTTAATTGTAAACATTACTGAAAACTCCCTCATTAAGAACACTAAGCTCCCGTTTATTTCTCATTTTTGGAATAATGAGAATGAAAAAGATAGTTGTTACAGACTTCACACAAGAGATGAAAATTTAAATTTGGTGGCTTAATATAATGGATAACGGTCATATTTTTCATTTTAAAGAAGAAATAATGGGAACCAAACAGAGGCTAAATATTCGATTTTCATTATATACATTCTTTTATATATATAATATTTTCTTCAAGATTTTTCTTATTAAAATGATCTGGAATATTATATCCAAAGGAGTAAAATAAATATTTGATCTTTAAACATTTAAACTAATTTTGTTGTTTTAATTTTCTGCACTTATCGAAGCATAAATGTAATATTTTTTATAAAAATAAAGAGTGTCAAAAACAAAACTAATGATAATGTTACTAAATCAAGTAATAGTGAACAGCGAGCTGAGACGCTAATATGATTAATGATTTGCAGCTATTGAGCCTCCCAACAAAAAATACTGGATGAAATATACTGCGATAATAAGAAATGATAATAACCAAAATGGTATTCACTTGCACGGCTATGGCATTTTCTTCTTCTTCTTGATTCTCTTAAAGGAAGAAAAATTCAACATGGTAGTTTTATCATCTTCTTCTTGATGCTTCAAAGTTTCATTCAAACTAAGGATTTTGGGGCACTATAATCAATATGTTTTGATCCAAAAAAAAAAAGAATTAGCATTTAGCTTAGCGTATTAATTAGCCGAGCATAGTTTATACTTTGGTTAATAGAATAGTCAATACATTTGATGGAATTAAGTAAATTTCCTTGTACGTGAATAATAAATTAGGAAGATTACTTACTAAACCACCATATATGTGCGAATATATATATGTGTGTGTGTGCGCACGTGCGCGCACGAATATATATGTATGGATAATTATATAAAATTATCACTAATTGATTTAAATTTTGTGATTATATAATTACCTGTCCATATATAATTATGATAGAATTATTTAAATTATGTAATTAATAAAATTATGTGCGTCTACATGTATACAATTATATATGATTATGATTTATTCTGAAAATTAAGTAAATTTCCATATATACAAAAGATAAGTTAGGAAGATACCCTCCTAAATAAGTAAACTACCATATATGAGTAATCATCTATGTATGTATCATTATACATTAGTATTACTACAATTACATACGTTTATAAATGTATAATTATGGTTGGTTGATTTCAAAATGGTATCACTATAATTATCCGTATGTATTATGTATAATTATGGTTGATTAATTTCACATATAGCATTACCATAACTACATCCATCTATGAATGTATAATTATAATTTATTAATTTTAAATTATATAATTACTATAATTATGTGTTTCTATATATGTCATATTATGATTGACTGGTTGACTAATTTAAATTATATGATTAATATAATCATTGTCTTATTTAGTGCAGGATTATAGGGACAATTATGACAGTCTTTTTGGTACTCCTAAGTGCAGCTATAAATACCATAGCTAAATCACACCAACAAACACACAAATTGTCAATTTGTTGAAGAAGTAAAATTCTTCTCTACGTAGTTACTACGATTCTGTTCAAATTATCAATGTAGGTGAAGTCATATGTTGTTTGTTAAATCATTTTTCATACTTTAAAGTGCAAAATTCAATTAATGAATATGATATGAGTCTTATATGTTTAAGTTCAATGGACCAGAGTTGAATAATGCTATGCACAAGAATTTTAGCAATGATTATGTATGGGGATTATGACCACCTAAGTTTTGTTTCTAATCCCCATGTTTCCTTATTTACGTTATAAATCCCTAAATTTTAAATAGGGAAAATTACAGGATTCCCGGTATTTAAAGATGTGAGTGCAAGAATTAGGTGCAAAGGTTTTTGAATAAAAAAATCAGGTATTATTTATACCCACACTATCTAATCCAAACAAACCCTAATCATTTTTTCATATCCTCAAATTTTTCATATCTCGCCTCCCTCTGCCTCTCTCTCCACCATCTCCCTCTCTCTCTCTCTCTCTCTCTCTCTACCTCTCCCTCACTCAAACCTCCATCATCGTTGAGGAGCACTGCCGCCGGAGACGTGAGACTCGAGCCGCAGTATAGTTGTTGCGGTGCGGCACCCTCGCAGCCGGCGTTGCGAGCAATCTGGCCGATCGAAGTTGTCACCCCGTCGATCTGAGCGTCGCGGAGTCAGGGCTCACAGTGGCGTCATCGTGGCTACGCTGTGTGACCAACTAGTCGGCGGCGATGCAACAGTATCTCGATGCGCAGAAGTGTGTAGAAGTCGGTTTGTTGGTGCGATGTGAGTGGAAGCCAGTTTGTGTTGGTGGCGTGTGATGTGAGTTCTATGTTTGTGGAAGCCAGTTTTGTTGGTGCTACATGGGTGTTGTGGTGTGGTGCAGTGTGGTGATGTCCGTATTTTTTGCAGCGACGGTGTTGGTGGTGGATCTGGCAGCAGCGATGGTGGTTTTATTTGTGTGTTTGGTGGTGGCGATGGATTTGATTGCGTTGATTTTGTTGGTGTTGGTGTTGGCGATGGCGGTGGCGACAGGGTGAGGGTGGTTGCAAGTGACGGTGGTGGCAATGGAGTTGGAGGTGACCGACTATTTGACCTGTGACTTTAAGATTTGATCATCTGTGACTAAAAAAATTAATATGTGACTATTAAATTTGAAAATATATCACCTGTGACTGTAATATTTTGGATTGTGACCATTTGTGACCCATAGTTTTTTTTATCTGTGACATCGACATAATCTGTAACTTATCAAAATTGTGATTTGTGACCTCGAAAAAATCTGTGACCAATTAATTTGATGATATGTGATCAATAAATAAAATCTGTGACCTATAATTATGAATATGTGGCCATGAATAGTATAACTATGGCTTTATTATCATTATTTAATAAATACTTCTAATTAATTAACTAAAACCTGATTTTTGCACTAAAGAAACTTGTAACCTGGATTTTGAATTAGACATAGTTAAAACCTTATTTATGAGCTCTTCTATTTTAAATATCACTTACAATTTATATAGCTCACTTATTGGAATTTTATCTTATTATTTATAATTTTTTCCCATTTTAGGCAATTGAGTTCGAGGTATTGGAGTTTCAAACCGGTCACTTGTGGTATAATAAAGAAAAGATAATTTAGGAATTTTTTAACAATAAATTTTATGATTAAGAAAGTGTTTCATTTTAAACTTTGGGAATAATTATTTTTATGAAAGTTCTATGTTTATAATATGTATTTAACTACTCAAAAGTTAAGTGTTGGGTCATTACAAATGGCATCAGGGTGGGTCTACATTTCTGTAGACACTTAAAAGAATAGATTTTTATGAGTTTTTGTACATGTTAAAATTTATAATTATGTCAAAATATTTAAAAAGGAAAAAAGAAATTCTTAGACTGCCACTCCACGATGCCAAGTTCCAAGTTTTCATTTCCTAGAATTAGGTGGAAAAATATGTCAAATCATAATTAATTGAAGAGTGCTACCTGGACAGCTTTGTTGCACAGAGCCTGTACAGGTACACACACATGGCCCCCATGTAAGATGCCGTGTACAGGCCCTGTGCAACAAGGTCTGTGTAGGAGGCATTTTTCTAATTATTTATTGTTATGTGAATAA